AAGTACATCCCGCCTGAGAAGGCCACGAGCCGCACCCATGAACTCACGAATCCCAGACCGACCCATCAGGCGCTGCAGGTCGAAGCATCCAAGATAGTTCTCAAGAGTGACGCTGATGCCGTTGAGTATCAACCGGTCAATGCGCTCCAGACCATGGAGGCCCTTCGGCGACGAGGTTTGGCCATGGTGTTTGCACAGATGATTTCATATGATGCCTACGATCGGTATGTGAATCGTCTCTTTAACCACCTGTCCCGTGACCCGCCGCCAGGGCTCAATCGCGTGAATGTGACACAATTGGTTAACGCTGACAAGCAGGTGTTTGCACTGCTGGCCGAATGGGGTGTCAAACCAAGGCGGGATACCGCAGGCGAGTATCCCCTTGACCGAGAGATGCACCGCGCTTTGGAATCCTACGAGGTGTCCATTGCCCTCATGCACCAGGCTCCCCAAGGCAAGTTCCCGTTCAAGAATAACCGCAAGCGTCATCCCTCTCGGCCTTCAACCCCCGATCCTCCTACGAAGCTCCCCAAAGGCAAAGGCCGAGGCAAAGGTGCCAAAGGTGGTCCTGCGATGCCAAAAGAGCTTGTTGACCTGAAGGCGAATGCCACCACACCTGAGGGTAAGAGCATCTGTTATGCGTTCAACTTGAAGGAGTGCAACCGCACTGACTGCCCTCATCAGCATGTCTGTGCCAGGTGTTTCCAGCCGCACTCGATCCGCAAGTGTGCTGCCGCCGGCGCTTGAGCGCCTTCCATCCCCTCTGAAGCAGTTTTGCATCGTGATTCACTCTTGTCTGAGCCTGCCTCGTCTCTTGTCGCAACTGGAGACCTGGCTGATGCATGCAATCCCATATCCCCTCCTTGTGAACAGCACGCCCAAACCTTGCTTTCCCGCGGTGCCTTGTGTGCTGAGGATGTGTTGGGCTTGGTCTCTTTTCTGCAACCCGAATCACCTCGCTTCCCTGGTGAGTTTAGTTGGGCCACTGGAGCCTATGTGCATGGCGGCATAGTCGGCCTCCGACACAACCTCAATCATTTTCCACTTTCGTCTAAAGTCTTGGCGAGCTTTGTTTCGAATACATTCCCACAATTGGAGTTTACCTCCATCGTGGTTTTAGTTAACACCCTCACCCCTGCGCACCAAGATCTCAACAATCATTTGGGTTTCCCCAATGCTTTGATTCCGCTTAGTAAGTTTGAGGCCGGTGGCCTTTGGATCGAGGGAGCTGGTGAGGAGGTTTGTCCTGACCCAGGGCATCCCGATGCCAAGGGACATGTTCTGCAACTGCATGAGCCGATCCAGTTCGATGCGCACCGGCTGCATGCGACATGCCCGTGGACAGGAAATCGCACTGTGCTAGCAGCTTTCGTAATCAATGATTTCCACAAGTTGGATGCTCAGCACCGCCAGCTTCTTCAGCACACTGCCTTTCGCTTGCCAAGCCTGTCTACTGGCGAGCTCCTGCCTTTGCGCCCAAGCATCGCTTCACGGTTCCCAGTGGTCCTTGAAATTTTTGCGGGTACAGCTCGTGTGACCGCAGCCTTGCGTCGCTGTGGCTTTGTCGGGGCCCAAGGTGTTGATCACGTGGTCGTGGATCATGCTGCCTGTCCTGTGCTGTTGGCCGATCTGACTACGCAAGAGGGCCAGCGTTTGACAATGATGTGGCTTTCCAGCCCTCATGTTGTCGGTGTCTTCATCGCTCCACCGTGTGGCACCAGCTCTCGCAAGCTCCTGGGCTCAAGTCGTTTGTAGCATTTTTGGGGTGGGGTAGCGGCAGTTCCGTGGCCAACAGTGTCACGAGGGAAGCTTCCTCTGCAGGGGCTTCGCACGGCTGTTCCTTCGAACGTGGCTCCAGGCGCAACAGGTTCCATTTTATAACCGGGCCTCCTTTCGACGTTTGTAGCTCAGATGCCATGGTTTCAGAAATGGATGCTGATGTGTCATTGCTTGTGGCTCAGCTTACTCACGGCCAAGCTGTGGCTCCAATTTCGTGGCCATTGCAGGCACATGCCAGAAAACTTTCTTGCAGCACGGGAGTTTCCAGTAGGCACGCGGTCTTTTGCAAGTTCTAGAAACACGAGCATTTTCCATGACCGGGTGTTTTCAGGAACCCAACCGAGCCTTGCCGACGCTGACACCAGCTTTTGTGCAGACGGTTCCCTTGCTTGCTTGAGGTGGCCAGTAGAGAACAATAAAGAAGCATTGGCTGCAGCAGGCACCGACCCGCCCAGCAAAAGCATGGCTGGTACTGACAGCCTTCCTTGCACAGGCGGCCCTCTGAAGTGCGTGCAGTCTTGTCTTATGTTGGATCACGGGGCAACACCCGTAGGAGTGGGCCGACCATGGCCGGAGGATAGCACAGATGAGCTTGAAGATTCCACAGGCCACTTTCCTTCATGCCTTCTTGATGTTTTGCACTTTGAGGGTTTTTGCAGAATTTGTGGACCTAGGGGGCTCTCGTTTGCAGCTGTCACCAAACACAAGCCGCGGGCACCTTGGAACACCCAGGCTCTGCATCAGCAGTCGCACATGCCAGCATCAGGTCATTCAGAGCATGACGGAGCCAGCGAAATGCCTAAACCGCTGTCTGGCACCCTGCTTGCCAATACACCTCTGCCGCCTCTGCACCTGTGGTGTCCTGACAGATGGCCGGAACTTCCGGCTGACTCGACCTACGAAGGCATCTGCGAGCAAGCTAGCTCAGGACCTCTGCGAAAACACCGGAACGGTCACTTAAACAATTTGACCTGCAGGAGATTGTGCCGACCAGGCTGCCATATCACCAGGCTGTTGCCTAAGCTCCTGCAGTTGGCCAAACATGTTGCCTGGGCACCTGTGCTTCGGACTCACATTCCGACATTCTTATCTGCCTCTCAAGTTTGTGCACAGCTTGATGTTTTCTCGGTGCTGCCTCGAACATGGGTTCCCGCTCGGATCGGTCACGCTCGCCTATGCGAGAGACGATGCGAGCACTCGCAGCGGGAGCTACCGCAGGAGACGGCGACAGAGCTCATCGACCTAGTGGTCCCCCAGTACCACACCCGGCAAGCCCTGGAGATGAGCATCCAGCCTTTGGAGCACATGCAGGTGTGGCACCACACACCCCAGCAGCTCTCTTCCGACCGCCACCAGCGATTGATGCTCTGCCTATGTTCTCCATCACCATGCCGCATAATCTCCAATTCAGGATCGAAGTCATCATCCGCACCGCACCGAATGAACGCCTCGCGGCCGAGTGACTCTGACTTTGGAGCTTTTGAGGGCCATGTTGCACAATTTTGGACAGCGCTAGCAGATCCACTCTTCTGTCGAAGAGATACCAGAGCTGTTGCAGCAGTGGTGCTGATAAAAATGCTGGGGCCTACCTTTGGATTGTCAGCAGGTAGCTTGCCTTCTTCGATGCCGCCAGCCTGCTTTTCTTCCGAGTTTGTCTGCTTGGCTCCCTCAGGTCCAGCTTTACCTGCAAAGAGCACACCGACATATCGTATCCGGCTCAGGCCGTCGGATGCTTCCTCTAGTGCGGTGTCCTGGGTTAGTCAAACTAGTTCTTCCTGCATTGCAGGGGACTTCGGTTCTACACGGAACTCCTTCCGAAGTGCCAACAGTTGCCTCAGCCAACGGGGCCCACACAAGGTATGCCAGCTTCGCTCTGGCTTATGCTCGTGTCTTACTGCCTGCTGCTGCAGGCGATGCTCGCAGACAGGCCCGACGACTGGTCAGTGCCCAGGTACGCCGTCATACGGATCGGATTGCATACTTTTGTCTGAGCTCGTCAGGGCTGCAACGCCTCGGTTTCGACCGCTTCGGCTGATCGCTCCGCCTCTTCACCCACTGGAGTGCTTCTCCACGGTGACGGCCCTGCAGTTGCCACGTCCCTCTGGACGGTGCTTCGATTGCAGGCTGCAACAAGATTCCGCCTTCAGATGGATCCGGTGCCAACTCTTGCACAACGGTCGGACACCTGGCCATCAGATGCCGGATCTCGGGCATTTTGCAATACTGGCCTGTCTGTGCTCGGTTGCTGCCCTTAGGACGCTTTACCAGGTAAGGCTTGCCACGTCAAAGAAAGCGCGGCTCCTGGCTACAGTGCTGTTGCCCCCTGTAATTCTGGCAGTGCTTTCATTAGCTTGCTGTGGGTATCTGTTTGACACCAGGTGTGATCGACTTGCACAGCTTGGACTGACTAGGCTGCTGCCTTTGCTGACTTCATTTTGTCGGAGTGTGCTTTTTTTTTTGCTCGACCGATCCAGGATGCGAGGTCGTCGCCTCACACACCGACTCTGCAAAGGTATATACCGACGCAGAATTTTGAAGTGTGGCACCTTCCGAGCTTGGAGAAATGCGCTGGCTCACAAGTTTCCTATTCCGGCAGGCTCTCGGTACGGCATGCAGAGTGGATTGTTCAGCAATGCAGTTGTGATGCTCTCTCTTTTGCTCCAGCATCTCTCTCTGGTCGGCCGTTTGTGTTGCACATGGTGGGTAAGGCCAAACAGGCTTCTGCATCGGCGGCTTCGCGCCCACGCTCTTCTAGGAGTGCTCCGGCTGGCCATTCTCGCCCTCGGGCGAAGCCTAAGGTGCCGACCAGGAACAGGACGGAAGCTGCTTCCCCCAAGGTGGCAGCCAAGAAGGCTTCGGCAAAGAAGGCCTCTGCAAAGTCTTCCTACAAGCCTTCCTCTAAGCCTTCGTCAAGGCCTCGTAGACGACCGGCAGCTACTGCTCCTTGCTGCTCTTCAGACACTACTTCATCGGACAGTTCCTCATCGGACACCTCCAGCACGGTGGCAACCAGCCCCACCGATTTGCTTCAGGAGCATCCTTATGTTGGAGTGACACACACCCACAAGGGCAAAGAACGTGTGGTTGCCCAAGATCAGCACATTTTTCAAAATCTCCTTCGGACACATGGCTTGCGAGCACTCAATTCGTGGGACAATCAAAGTACTTATGTTGACCCACATGGTCCTGCCTCTAGGGTGGACTTTGTCCTTGCGAGAACCATGCAGGCCACGGGTTGTCCCGTCACCGTTCAGCCACAGATCCATTTTGCATCCTGGCGCTCCGGAGCCAGGCATATGCCTCTTTTGGGTATGATTGACTTGAAGGCCTGGTGTCGCTTCCGGGATCGTACTCCAGCCAAGCTTGCCATTGATCAGGATGCTTTGTGCCGGGCCTGTCGCCCCGGCCCTGAGCTTGAGATACTTCGCCAGGCCTTTGCTGCCAAGCAACACCTTTTTACAGCTGATTTGCTACCCTCCCAAGCGGAGGCTGAGCTTCGCAACATCTGTGTCAAGGCTTTTCCTTTGCAGCGCAATCGAACCATTGCTCTGCAGTGGCAAAACCCGGAGGTTGGTCAGGATTTGTCTCTCACATGGCAACTGCGTCGCAGCCTCAAGCAGCAAGCCGCCTTTTGGCCGCATCTGTCGTCTACGTTTAGAGCATGGAGGTTGCATGTACAGCTAAGCCGAAGAGTCAAAGAACTGAAACGCAACAGCCGTCGTAGGCGACGCGAACATTGGCAAGCACAGCTTTCGGAGGCGGAGCAAGCAAGCAAAGCTGGCAACCCGCTGAAATTCTTTCAAGTTGTGCAGAGGCTGGCACCCAAGCGAGCACATGCACGAGTTCAGATCCGTGATCCCAAGGGTCAGATCCTCACTCCAGCCTTGGAAGACAAAGCCCTTGCAGACTACTGGCAAGGTATCTACTCCAGCACCAGTCTGCCTTATCAGGCTGTTTGTCTTCGTGAGTCACTCCTTGTTACCCAGCAGGAGCTCCATGATGCTCTCCGAGGCCTAAAACAACGAAAAGCTGTAGCCAAAGATTTGGCTCCGGCTGCTGTCTGGAAGGCCCTTGCCTCTCCTCTGTCTTGCTATCTGAATGCCGTGCTGAGCAAAATCTGGCAGCCTGGTCCGCTTCACATTCCATCTGTTTGGGCAAGGTCGGATCTACATTTTCTCTTGAAGCCTCAAAAAGTCACGCGACGGCCGCAGGATTTGCGCCCAATTGCCCTCCAATCGGCGGCGGCAAAGGCAGTCCTGACAGTCTTTAAGCAACGCTTGCAGCCCAGCTTCTTGGAGGCTATGCGCACCCTCCCACAGTATGCCTACGTGATGGGAAGGTCCACTCACGAGGCTATCTCGCGGGTAGCGGCACATTGCAAGGAAGTCCGTGACTTGCTCAGGTCTCAAAGCTTGACGGTTTTCGATCGATTTGAAGGTGCACGTTACACCCCGTGTATTGGTGGGGCCCAACTTGGGCTCGATCTGTCGAAAGCTTGCGACCTTTTGCCCCGAAGGACCTTGCAGCTTTTGCTACGAGACACAGACCTTTCTCTTGAAGAACAGCAGGTTCTACTTGAATGGCATCAGGCCGGCAAGTATATAGGATACATAGCAAGGGCAACGAGCATCCGGTCTTTGTTCGGCTTGAATGTGGGGTTAGGCAGGGATGCGTGTTGTCTCCTTTCTTGTGGGGGTTGTTCACCAAGCACATCCAAAAACGCCTTGATGAGGCCAACGGCCCAGGATGGACTGCCCGGCGTGGCACTCTCTTTGCGGATGATATGCATTTTAAATGGGTTTTCCGCACAGAGGCTGAATTGCATAGCATCCGTCTTGAGGTTCTCAACATCTTTCGCATACTGCGTGAGCTTGGCATGCAGGCCAACCCCGACAAAAGTACCTTTATCATAGGTGCCAGAGGACAGCAAGCGCGAAAGTGGGTGAAACGCTGGGTCCGCAAGGACTCCGACGGTCGCAAGCAATTCCATTTTGGAGGTGCCAAACAAGATAGAGTCCCAGTGGCCAGTCAGCTTACCTATCTTGGAGTTGTTCTCTCTTATCGGAATTTCGAGTTGGCGACTGCTAACCATAGGATAGGGGTAGCCGCAGGCCATCGTGATCGGCTCCGCCGAATTTTGCATGCCAGACGTGTGCTCAGTGTGGGGCATCGCCTCCGATTGTGGCGCATTATGGTGCAGACGTCGCAGTTATATGCTGTTGAAGCTGTTGGCCTGACCGCTGAGACGGCCAAGCTCCTTCACATCCAGACTATGCGGCATATGCGAGCGATTATTGGCTCTGCCAGGCACGTGGATGGGGATTCGGATCAGCTTTTCATGCTTAAGCATTGCATTCCTGATTGTGTAGAGCTGGTTAAGACAAAGTGTGACGCTTTTTGCCAACGATTGGCACGAACTGAGCTTGAGATCCCATGCTTTGGTGCCGAGGGCATTTTGCAATGGGCACAGTTTGTGCGGGACTCACTGCCGCCACCCTACATTGCCAAGCCTCGGTCTCAGCCGACTCCTGCATCTTCAGCCTCTGTACCCACCCCCGTCCCTGAGGATTCAGCACCCAGTGCTCACCCCAAGCCTGTGCCATTGCCTCCGCCGTCTAGTGAGCGTGATGTTGCTGGTGCAGTCGTTGCTTCTGCACCCTCTGCTCCTACACTGGCCCCGTCCTCGGGGCCACCAGCACCCTCTAAGCCCGCGAACGGCTTCTCTTGCGCGATCTGTGATCAGGTCTTCTCCAACCTACACGATCTCAAGACACATGAGGGCAAGGCCCACAAGAAGGTCCGGGATAAAATTGCCCAAGTTCAGCACACTGAGCATGGCTACAACGGCTTTCCCATATGCAGGCACTGTGGTGACAAATTCTCCAAATGGAGTGCGCTTACCAGGCATGTTACCAGGCAGGGCTGCCCTGCCCTTGAACGTGGTGAGCCGGAAGCATATGCAAAGTCGCAGGCTGAGGCTATGGTGACACCCCACGTGCAAAGGCCACACATTATGCAAGCCATACGTGAAAATGGCTGGGAATCGCTCTTGACCAATGCTGATCTGTGTGTCGACCTCAAGCAACGGTGTGCCTTGTGCTATCAATGGGTCGTCTCGGGGAATGGAGTTAGGAAACACCTTCGCCTTAAACACCCTGAGCAATTTCTCCTTCACGAAACTGCTATCAGCCAACAGACTGCTCTGTGGAAGTCCTTCATAGCCTCGCCGTGTCAAGCTTGCGGCACCCACATTGTGGATCGTCGCCAACATGCAGGCAGCTGTCTTGTTCTTCTGCAATTGATGCTCATGTCGTGCATGTTGGTTGGACATTGCAAATCCAGCAAAGCTCCGGCAGGATCCCGTGCTTCAAGAGAAGCAGCTGTGGGGGCATCTTCTGCCCTCTCTGGAGGAGGCGGTTCAGGATTGGCCAATGAATCACGACGACAGCAAAGGGGACAAGCCATCGGAGGCCAAGTCGAAGGACCTGAACAAGCGCCGTCGAACAAACGACAATCCAAGCTTCAGTTCGGACAAGCAAGATCGCAAGGGCAAAGGCAAGGGCAAGGGCAAGACCAAATCCTCGAAGGATGCAAGCAAGATGGAACTGAAGGAGGCGGTTCAGCTTATGGCGGCCATGACTCTGCAGCTAGTGGATCAGGCGAGCAGGGTTCAGCTGGACACAAGCTTTCTACTTACCATGAAGAACGAGCCGGGTCCGGAAAACCTGTTACCCATCATGTACAAGGTGTGGAAAGCTTGGAAAACCATGCAAGAACAGGAGCCAAGCAAGCTGGACAAACCTCTTCGTTGCAGTATGATGATCTCCATGCTTCTGGAAATCAAGGCCAGAGCCAAAAAGCTACTGGACGACTCCGAGCAGCAGGAACGCATGAAGGCTCTCGAGTGGATCGACTCCGAGGGTCGATGGGTTTATCGCAAATGGTCTCCAACTCAGGAGGCTCTGTACCTCGATCAGTCCAGGAAGCCGATTCCTCAAACAGCATTCGTCGAGCAGCTGGATCAGGCCATGACTTTGCTGGTACGTCCGGAAAACATGCCGAGATTTCAGTCGAGGGAACTGGCACCGGAGATGAAGGGCTACGCGGTGACCTTTCATGTGGACATCGGGCTCCGCTCGGAAGCAGAGCCTCTGTGGCAGATTTTCAACACATGGGTGGACCTCCAGGCCTGGGTGTTGGGGGCGGTGAGAATACGGCCCCATCGGCTGAAGCGACCGCCCGCGGCCGATCGTCTATCGGTCTGGCTTGGCAATCACTGAGGCTTCAGAATCCTAGCAATCATTGTTATGCTAATTCTGTGGTGCTTGCTTGTGGTCGATGGCTGCAGCCTTCACCTCTGTCTGCTGCTGCCGCAGGTGCCAATCCTTTCATGAAAGCGCTTGCTGCACTACAAGGCTTAAGCTTCTCTCGTGATTATGGCCTCTTCAACATGCTCTCTTGGAGGTCGCTGTTTACGGGGTGGAGCAGGCCGAATCAACAGCATGATGCGACGGAATTCCTTCTTCATCTGCTGTGCCAGGGGTCTGATGCTCCTTGGGTGAGCCGCTGGCTGGCTGGTACACAACTAGGCGACCGCTTCGAGGTTGAGGATTCGGGCTCCAATGTCATCTTGATGCCTATTGCAGGTGCTGGCGATGCTACAAGGTACACTCTCCAAGAGTGTGTCCAAGCCTGGCATATGCAGCCTTCGCAACTCTGGGAAGGAAAAACAAGTCTTTATTGCCTCAGTGAGTTCGAAACTCATGTGTGCATTGTGTTGCAACGCTTCCACGTTGGTGCTACCACGATCAGCAAGAGCCACACTCCGGTGCAGGTGGATTCTACATGTGAGTTGCCGGTGTATCGTGCTGGAGCTGTTATGTGGCAGCCCTTTCATGTATGTGCAGTGACTTATCACATTGGCGAGTTGCCGACCAGCGGTCACTACCGAAGCATTCTTTACTTGAATGATGGGCTGCAGCTTGCAACTGAAGACAAAGTGAAAGCTAAGAAACTGAGTGCGAAGGATCGTAGCTTAGGCAGTGCTGGTGCTTACATTGTGTATTTGTCCTCAAATCCTTGATTGTTGCTTTTGCATTGCATCGTACTCGTGTGTTTCACTGACGGCTCGCTGACACTCGTGTCGGGGCGCCATGCTGGCACTCGTGCCGATGGCTGAATGTGTGCGTAGTTGTACACAGTCGCTTGTTACATGTAACACACGTGTAACATGTAGTGACCGGGTCCAAAAGGACTTGTTCTTGTGCCACTTGCGCGCAAGGTGGAGACCGCAACTCTCGCCCGCGTTTTCAAAGTCAAAAAGTCACCAGCTCTCGCAAGCTTCTCGGCTCTAGCGTTGTTTTCTGTGAGTGTGGGTGGGGTAGGTAGGGGCGGGGTAGGAGGCATCGGCTGTCCGGTGTCTCGTTGCCATAGGGACTGTGGGGCGCGCGTTGTTGGACCCCCTGTTCTCTTTTTCCGGTAAAGTGCGATTCAGCCGCGGTCTCTTTTCAAACTGGTCAGTGGCTTGCTGCTTCTTTGGCTGGCCCACGGTTTTACAAAATTCCGCTGTCTTCTGCACTGCATATCCGGGCTTTTGCGCTTGATTTATTGGCAGACGAGCTTGTATTTTCGCCATTTTCTGCGCAAATTTTGCAACTGGCTACACTGATCTGGGCAGACCTGCCAGCGCTTGACACCTTGGAGTGGGCTATTGAAGCACTTCCGCGGCCGTCTGCATTACAACTGACGAGCTGGACCGCAGTACACTATCCTGACGTATACAGTGCCTTTTTGGAACGTTTGCAGCTTGAACATCACCCGACTACATTGGTACAGTGAACAATATGTGGTCATTGCTACTGTGCAGCTTGCCGACGTTTCTTCGCGATGTTCCCCAGGCCAGCTATTCTTCGGTTCTGGGCTCCTATACAACACGGCAGCAGCCATGTATTCGATCAGGTAGACTGCAGCTACTACATCAGCCTCCGATTTGGTCAGCGCCCTATGATTCTTCTTCAGCATCATGGTCATCAGCTTCACTATGTATCAGGCCGGACGACGGCAACCATGCCCAACCACGAACTGGAATGAGGTGGCCGTTCTCTCTACCATTATTGGAGTCGACCTTGAATTCCTGGCCTCTTGCAAACAGGTGGTGGTACATATCGTCAGCTCATCAGGCATGCTCTGGCAGAGACATGGTATTTGCTACCGTACAGCTCTCACTATGCTCACGATCAGGCCATCAGCGGATTCAGCAGATCCCACATTTCCTTCAGCCTTGGTCAGTGCCTTGTGACATTCCAATGACAGTCTGGGCTTTGCTGTGCTTCAGGTCGGATGATGGCCTACATACTCGACGGTACACAACTACGAGATGGCAGTTCTCTCGGCCTCTTCTTCTGGTGTGTGCGTATCACTGGCCTCCGGCGCACAGGTGGTGGCATGTATTGGATGCTATTACGGCCGGCCACTCTTGGGCTGCGCACTCTGCAGCCGCGCAGCGCTCTGCATGCTTGCAACCAGGTCTGTACTCCCTTCTGTTGTGGCTCTGGCCTCGATACCTTCATGCGCCGCCCACCTGGTTCTTGTATGCTGCAGTTGTTCTGTCAGATCAAAGCAATATGCATGACTTCGGCCGGTACTTCCGCGATCTCTGGACAAGGCCCCAACCGGGACGCATTTCTTGCACTTCTTGCCTGCCTGCAGCTCCTGGTGTGCCGTACAAGATCCGTTTCTGTGTTCCCATGCAGCTGCGAGCTCTACAACAAACGGCAATATGCTGGGTGCATTCATGGTCATTGCAATATATCGGTGCTTACATACATGCGTTCTGTGGTGCAGTAATTGTTGCTGATCGACCTCTAGTCGGAAGTAACCTCAATCTGCCGGTGCATGGGCCCATTGGTTTCTCTCCGTCTCTGACGGCGGGACTGCTGACTGTCACTCCACTATGCACTACATGCAAGACCCGGTGTACATGGAAGGAGTCTCTCGCTTATCAGGTCCGCCAATTGCTGATTGTGAGGTCCGTGCTTTTTCACACTCCATGTACCAAAAACGCCTGGCAGATGCGGATACAATGCACCGTCCCGACCTGGCCACGCATGATCTCCGTATGGCAGGACGACACGGCGAGAAATTGTGGGTACTGGTATTCAGCTGTGAGGCTACGACTCCGGGCAGGTTTCAGAAGAGTGGCAGCGACAGTTTGGACAGACTTATCAAGAGTCTTATTTGGCGCGGTTCGGCAAAAGTCCTTGGCTGTGTCCAAATTAGTATGTACATGCAGCCTGCTGCAGTGGGCTCTATTCTATATGACGGTATCGGCCGACGCACAGAAAAATCGCTGCTACAGTTCTTGACACGCTTCTGTACCTTCTGTGTGATTCCTATACAACCATTGCTGCCTTCTCGATATGCTACCCTGCCAGGTCGTATGAGCCACTGCTTTCCGACAAACAGGCGGTGGTGGTGGTGTTTACTGTCTGATATTCCAGCTGGACACTCTCAGATTGCGGTTTCAGCAAATGCGCGGCACTCCGCACACACGTATTCAGGTCCTATGCTGGTTCTGCATCAGCCTTCGCATCGGTCTGTGCAACGATCTGGGGCTTATGCCCATTTCTCTACCTGGCCACAACACGAGTCTCTGTCACCAACATGCGATCACCCAGGTCGGCGAATCTCTCAGGTGTGGCTCTGGCCTGCACTGGTCCGGGGCAGGCTCGATCTTACATCATGTGCTGTCTTCACAGGTCTCAGTGTCCCAGCAAGCTTCCCATATCAAGGTCTGAGGATGCCTATGATCACGGACCTTGGCCCACACCCTGTGACTGCTTTCCTCACTGTGCTGCTGTCCATTGCTCACTGCCCAGGTCTGTGGCAAGCCGATTCTACCAGCCGACACCAGCAGGCTCGACTGCTTCAGCAATCACAATGGTCGGATGTGACTCGCGGTGTGCACGCCCTTGCACCTATACGTTCCGACTTGCATGTTGCTGTTTGCATTTGGGATTACAGATGTTGCTACGGCCAGTATGTACACAATCGGGCCCTACAGCGATATTGTCGATTCCTGCATTCAGTGATATGTGTCATTTCGGAACACAGATGGTGGTGCTGGCCATTCTTACTCCGCGTAGCATTGCAGGATGGCACTCGCTACAGACATCCTGTAGTCTTAACGAGCAGAGTTGAACCATTTTGTGTGGTGCTTGCAAGCATGGGGAGAGATTCTCGCGGCGCCCCGATGCCTCGTGACTATGCTGACCCGGTGGAACCATCGGCGAAGCGGGCTAAGGTCAGAGATGCACTGCCAAGACGTCGACCCACTCAGGACTCCGACCAGTCCAATCAGACTCCCTCTTCGCAGATGACTCGCACCCCTGCTCGTGCTTCAGCCAGTGCATCAGCTGGTGAGCTCAAGCCACGTGAACCTCTACCACGTCATCGGCAGCTACAAGCCAAGTCAAAGACCAGCAAACCTGCCGATAGCCCAAGGAGTGCAGCCGTGGCTCGTGCACCAGACAATGACCCGACAGCTCGTGGACCAGTTGCCTCCAGTATAGTGGTCAGTGAATTCTCGGACGGGGTCCTTATTAAGCAAACAGGACTTCGGGCTCGCAGCCCATCCTCTACTCCAGGGACGGGAAGCTCAAGAAGACCTCCGACGCCACCAAGGAGTCTACGAGAAAATGCTGATGGTATATCGGTAAGTACTCAGACCAGGCGACCAAAAATGGTGAACAAGGCGGTGCAGGTGGGCAAATGCGGTCTCAAAGCACAGTCCAAAGCTCGTCCCCGAAGGCTGGATACAAATGCTCCGGAAAACCCGGAGGAGACTCCTGCTCCTGGTCCAAAGGACACTCGTGCCGAACGTGATGATCTTCGCCGTCAAGCCGCTGATGCAGTGCTGACAACAGCCCCATGGAAAAGACGTCAAAAAGCCAGAGCAGGCGCCTGCGAGCCTGCCACGGATGGCGTTTCCGAGGGCCCTGCTCAACCAACTACAACCTCAGCCAACCAGTATGACTCCTCTTCCGACTACGACAACCTCGCGCCAGGGTGAAGCCACTGGGAAGAACGCTGCTGCATCGAGTACTCCGAGCAAGCCCTTGAGTAAGGTCCCATACACAGCTGCTGGTGCCGACCCACAGGAGGAAATCATGGAGCTACGTTTCGATCAACTTCAGGAGATGCAACGATCCGCAGCCAGCAGGAGACACAGTGTTATACAGCGTGCACGCATACAGCAGCAGCAGAATGCATCTTCGAGTACAGATGTTGCGGATGCTTCGCTATCTCATGCACCTACGACGGTCTCAAATGCCTCCTCTGCATATATGAAAAAGCGTCCACCGTATGCAGCCCTCAGCCGTCTCGCATGCTTTATTCTGTGCGGCTACATTGCACCTGTGACAGGTCTGTACATGGTCCTCCTTATGTATTGGTGGACCTTTGCTGGCATCGTGCCAGCACGGTCAGCTCCCTGGCAATCGTTGCTCGATGTCTGCGTGGTGCCTACAAAATGCAGTGTACTCTGATCCACATCTTTCTGTCAGGCCCGGTGATCTTATGGATGGTTATATACCTGCTGCAAGAGTTCTGGTCTCAGATTCACTATTGCCTTGCAGAGATTTGTTCGTGCCTGCTACAACCGCCACTACGATCGCAATGGCGGAACGTATACGATCAGGCCCCTGCTGTTGCCACAGTGCTTTTGTGTGGTACATTTGTTGCCTGGCATGTTATCCGACACACCTGTCAATGGAGTACACACTTTGTGCAAACTGCCTTCTCTGGGATGCGGTACCTGCACATCCGGTGCTGTTATGCATGTGGATGCCTCTATTCATACACGAGTGTCTACATCAGGTTATTCGGCACCACTACACTCCGACACACCCCCCCACCAGTTCGCTATTGCCGCCCCGGTCCCAAGTCCGGGGGCCCCTGGGGACTATGGATGCTCATCCTACTGTCTCAGCTTCTTAGAGTCTCAGGGGTAGAAGCGAGGGTTGGAGCACCTTCGGTGGGTGCTCCGGGAGCCGCGCAAACGGTACTCCCCGGTCGCCATCAGGCGAAGCTACACCGACAACGCAAAGAACAAGGAGACTTTATCGTCAAACGTAGTTTTATCAGAGCACAACGTCGATTGCAACAGCATGGGACCACATGGTATCGCAATCGCTTATACACCCGCCACGATGAGCTAAAACCTATACCGCTCCGTTCCGGTCCGCAGCCGACTGATCTCAATCAAGCTCGGTATGCCCGGCCTCGCACTGCTGTGCCAAACCTGCCCTCCTGGCCACTTCAGCAACCCGCACAATCTGTTACTCCCATACAGTCCAGTGATGTTGGCGTGGTAACTCTTCATGTTGGCGGCTTGAGCAAGGAAGGATATGACGAATTGGCACAATGGTTGAATCAACCATCTACACTTCGCAATGTTCAGATTGTATTCTTGCAGGAGACCTGGAGAAGTGCATCTGAATTCTCCACACAGCATTGGCACTGGATCCTGTCAGGTGCCGGTCAAACTGCCAAGGCCAATAATGGCAGTGGTGTAGCTGTACTGATCAACAACAAGCTAGCCTCATCGTCACACATTCGCTATCAGGAATGGCTCCCAGGCCGTCTTCTCGAGGTTCGCATTACGGAGGACAAGCGACGTCCTCTTCTGCATCGACCCATCACCCTTGTGTGCGCCTATCAACACTCCAGAATCTCTCACAGTCCTGAGGTGTACGCAAAACGGCTAAGGTTCTGGGAGAAGCTCCAAAAATGCCTGGATGCAGTGCCGCTCCGGCACACCCTGATCTTTGGTGGAGATATCAATACTGGTATCTCCCCGATGTCGAGGCTCGTCGGCAAAGGTGCTCAAGTCAGTACCAACCCTGCTCAGGACCAATCCGAATGGCAGGACATTGTACAACAGCACCGTCTTTGTCTTCTGAACACCTGGGGATCGCCGGCCAAAACTGCTACATATGTGGGTGCGGAATATTCTACACTGATTGACTTCCTGGGTGTCAGAGAGCGAGATTCCGGGCATCGCGCCAAACTATCCAGACCACAATCACAGATTCACTTGTTTTCTTGGCGGTCTGGGGCCCGACACCTGCCTGTGTATTCGGTTATCACTCTCAAGAATCCGTATCATCAAGCAGTGACCCTCGACACAGTCCCACACAGCCCGTATGGACCATCTGGGTATGGCTCACACACTGCTGCAAGATCCTCAGCAAGCAGAGCAACTGCGCAGTATTGTCAGAAACCGGCTGACTCGTGCTTTACAGGACCAGCCCGTGGATGCAATTATGCACCCTATGCACATTGACGCCATCCTGCGACAGTTTCAAACTTTTCCAGAACCCAGGAACCTGTTTTCATGTGCTTAAGACAGCACTTACAAAGAACAACTTGTGACCGACTGCAAGGCTCAAAGAAGTGTGAAAATAAGTGACTCGTGCGTTTTCCGCGCACTCTGTTGTGGTAGCGGAGCCTCGCCAACAGGGAAGGCTCGTAGGGTAGCTAGCTTGTGCCCCGGGCCCTTGCTAGTTCTTGAGCCCGATTGTGATCGGCATACTCCTCGCGTGTCGTGTGCCCGAGTGCTGTGGCGGCCAGAGCCTCTACGTGACTTACCTCTTTGGTTTTCTTCAAAAGTCGGTCAAGTGTGTGTTCTTTGCGGTGCTTGCAGAGAGGATACAGAGAACTGAGCCTTGAGCCATCGAGTGTGACATGTCAAGTCCTCCTCAAGGAGATCAAGGACCCCAGCCTGGGGGAGGAGCATCCCCTGGAGGTCAGAGTGCCACGTCGGCACCTGCAGCAGGGTCGGCGCCCGCGCCGCCTGTGGACCCTGGAGTTGTAGTGCAGCAGTTGGCAACAGCTTTGTCTTTGCTGGCTGCGAACCAGCAAGATTCTTCTGTGAGAGAAGCCAAGTTTGACAAGCTCCTGATGTGTTTGCGCCCAAAACCCTTGATGAAGAACTGGCCGGTTGGCCGGATTGGTCCTTCTGTTTTCGTAATTGGCTTTCAGTACAGGACGGGGCATTTAGGGACGATCTTCTGAAAGTCGAGAAAGCCACCGAGATCCTCGCATTTGCCGATTACGAGTCCGGAACCAAAGCTCGAAGTATCAGATTGTACTCTATATTGGCGACTTATCTTCGGAACCGTCCTCTCCGATTGCTGCGGTCGGTAGCAGACGGTGACGGGTTCCGTGTGTGGCGCTCTTTGGTAGATGAACTCCAACCTTCTAGTCGTCCTCGAGCACTTGCGTTGGCACAGGCTTTGGTAAAGTTCCCACCGTACAAAGAGGGCGGCAGTTTGCTAGACTACACCCTTGCGTTCGAGAGACTCCTCACAGAGTACGCAAAGGTTGCACCTCATCCTTACGACGACAACTTGAAAATTTCAACGCTCCTGGCAGGACTGCCCAGCGACGTGCGGAAGTACCTGGAGCTGAACATGGACGACAGCATGACCTATGAGAAGCTGCGCACCCGGTTGCTGCAGTATGAACGGACTACCGCAGGGTGGTCTTCGGAGCATGTGTTGCGGTCGGTTGGCATCGACAAAGATTCGAAGTTCTTGGACACGTCAGATGTTGTGCCAATGGAGGTAGATCGCGTTGAGAAAGGAAAAGGGAAGAAGGGCTTTGGCAAGAAGGGCACCGGCAAGAAGGGCGACAACAACTACTATCAGAAGGGCAAGGGTGACCATTGGAGCAAAGGTAGTTACAACAACAACGCCTACAACAACAACTACAAGGGAGATAAAGGAAAAGGAAAAGGCTCTTGGGGAAAGGACAAAGGAAAGGGGCATGGAGGCAAGAAGGGAGGCAAGGGAAAAGGCAAGCAGATTGGTCCCTGTCACAAGTGCGGTCGCATGGGACATCTTCAAGCTGATTGCAGAGTAGGGTTTGTGCAGCAAGTTCAACAGCCAGTTCCTGATGATGCTTCTACTGGTATTCCTTCGTCTGCAGCGTCTACTGCTAGTGTGCCTTCGTCTTCTACCTCTAGTGCCCGGAACCCCTCGAGAGCAACCACAAATGTTCGTCGTCTTGAAGTAGTGCACGAGCAGCCCAATGACATCAACCTAGTGATCTTCGAGACTCCCCAGACTCCCACCTGTGAGTTCTTCGATTTGGCCTGTGAGGACGATGACTGGGATGACTATTTCGACGAGCCCGATGAGTACCAGGTACGTGCCGTGGAACTTTGTGCGGGAAGTGCCTTAGAAGTTGAAGCTGAAGCCGAAGCTGAGCTCCAGTCGAGTAGCACGCTGGTGTTTGACATAGCGGAGAGTGATGAAGACAGTGATTGTGAGCATGACGTTCGTATGGTCAGTGAGCAGCCGATGCAGCATGAGTTTGAGCAAGTGATCTTGGATTCTGGAGCGGATGTGACAGTGCTTCCCCTCTCCCACGGCGCGGTAGGAGAACCCAATGCAAACAATACCATGATCCGCGATGCCCAAGGTAATGTCATCCCGATGGCGAGCTACAGAAAGAACGTGGTCTTTGAAGTCGAGGGCAACGAAGGCCAGCGGCTGTTCTTCCGGGATAAGGTTGTCGTAGCTCAAGTGAAGCAGCCTCTTTTGAGTGTGGGGAAGCTGATTCGAGATCACTGGAGCCTCGGGGATGTTGACGGCCGTTTGCAGATGAGCAAGGGTGGCAATAGCTTCCCAGTGCACATGTCTCGGAACTCGCTTGCAGCAAACATGAAGATTTATCGACTTGAGGAACATGTCCGTGCAGTTGTGATTGAGCTTTCCGAGTTGATGGAGAGCGGCACTGAGATTCAAGGGTGGAGCCTCTCCTCAGATGGGGGCCCCATGCACGTGAGCACAAGCAGCAGCTGCACCGTTGATCCTTCTCTGGTGTTCCCTTCGCAGCAGTGGCCGTTTCGCACCACGTTGCTTTCACAGGGTGATCGTCGATATGAAGTGTTTGAGTCTGGCGAATATTGGGAGGATCGGAAAGCTTTGAGCAGAACGTCCTGCAACCAAAGTTGTTACTATCTTGAGTTCTGCACCAGTGGAGCCCAGGGACATTGGAAAGGTGATTGTAAATGAGCAGTTTCGTCCTGAATACATTGTTCCCGAAGAAGCCCCTGCTCATGATGACGGTGATGCTTGGATGGCGGCGGCCCCTGAACGTGTTCCCGATTCTCCTCCAGCCCAGGTTGATGGACAGCGCGGTGGCGGCGCTGAAGAACAAGGCGATCCTGTGGATCCCGAGGTCCACCTGGCTGCGGGGAGACAAGCAACTTTGGTGGTTAATGATGTTGAGCTCACTGAAGACTCTTCGCTGAAAGTGTTGCGTAGAGCATGCCAGTTTCTTCGAGTGAGCAAGAATGGGAGCAAGGCTGTACTGTGGAGCAGGCTTCAGAGTGAGGTAGCAGATTCTCAGCTTCGACATTCTGTGCAAGCAGCTGATGCAGTGTTGGAAGCATACCGCCGAGAACCTCAAACGGAATCTGGAACAGCTCCTCCGGATGCCGAGACGGTGGCACTTCATGAAATCACCCACTGCCCCAGAATGCCGTGGTGCAATGCATGTGTGGCTTCGCGGTCTAGAGAGGACAACCATTCGGCAAGTACTCCAAAAGAGCTGGGGGTGATCCACTTTGACTACATGTTTAACAAAACAGAAGCAGCCCAAGGAAGCCCTGAACACCCCATGGCAGTGCATGTCGTTATGGTCGATGAGCACACAAACTTTGTGCAGTGTGTGCCTGTGGAGTCGAAGAGTGCAGAACATGTGCGTGTAGCAGTCGATGAGGCTGTGAAGATGGCCTCTCTCCTTGGCCACACCAACCTGACGCTGCGTGGAGACAGCGAGCCGGCGATGAAGGCGTTCATGGCAGCGATCGTGCAAGCAAGGACCCGATTGGGGTTAGCGACCAAGGTTACTTATGCTGCGCCGGATTCGAGCTTGCATCAAGGTTTGAAGGCAGAGCGCTTTATTGGCATTGTTCGGGGTTTGGCCAAGACTTTGCTGAGAACGATTGAAGAGCGGACTGGATTCCAAGTCCAGAGTGGGCACCCGGTTTATGTTTGGGCTTTTCGACACAGTGCTTTCCTTTACAGCAGGTTTCATGTGCAACGTGACGGTATGACTGCATTCGAACTTGTGCACAGTCGGCCTTATGCTGGGAAGCTTTGCGCTTTTGGTTCCTCGGTGTTCTCCCAGTACCTCCCACACGCTGCTGCTAAAGGAAGCGGTTGGAAGAGATCGATTTTCCTTGGAAAGTCAACACTTAGCAACCTGAACATTGTGGCTGATAGCTCAGGTGTGCACTATGCCAGAACGATGCGAAAAGGTGCCTTAGGATTTGAAAGTGAGCTGATTGCGAGCGCAAAGGGAGTGCCCTGGAATGCAACATTGGATGTTTTGCCAACAAAGAGGTCGAGGGCCCCAAGGATTAGAGCACCAGCACTTATTGAGGCAGTTGATCCTGTGGTTCATGCGCCGGGCCCTGGGCCCGATGAAGCTGCGAGCGACCCTACGTCGTCCGCGAGCCAGGGTAGTGCTTCTAGTGCTGGTGGAGTTGGCTCTATGTCGACTAGTTCCTCTAGTTCTGCTGAGATGATGACTGATGCAGAGATGGGCCAGGCCTCGGCACACAGAGTAGATGGTGGTGATCCTTGTGAAGCTTTTGCAAGAAGGGTTCGAGAGGACCAACCGTGTGGTCACGAGCCAGAGGTGATTCCGGAAACAGACATGGACTTGAGCTTCGAAGATGGAGTGGAAAAGGAAGAAGATGAAGACCCGAATTTGGAAGCTAAGCAAGCAGCCAAGGAGTGGGCCCATCGTCGATACGAGGATGGACCTCCGGAGTTCTCCGAGGAGTACCTTTGCCGCCTTGACGCAGCTATGGATGCTTTGGAAGTCAAGCGTTTGTTGGCACTTGGAGTGGTTCGCAAGCTTGGGGATAACCAGCAATGGGGAATGCGCCAGAAGGAATGAAGAAGCTTCAATCACGATTCGTTCGTGACTGGCGCTTCCGCGGCAACTGCTGGATTAGGCGATCAAGGCTTGTCGCCAAGGAGTTCAAATTCTTGGAACCCGAGCTTGAGCACTTGTACGCACCAGCTTCCATGGCAGTACTTCAGCGTGTCTTTGCAGGGTTGTGTGCGAGTGGTGAGAATTTGGTGCTTTATAGCGTTGATGTGAGTGACGCTTACCTACAAGTTCCACAGAGTTGCCCTACATGCATCATTTCGAATGACGGAGAGTATCTTGAGCTGTTGTACAGCCTTCCTGGTCAGAGGGATGCTGCTCGAGGGTGGTATCTTCATCTCAAGGAAATCGTGAAGGGCAATCGCTTGAAGCCTTTTGAGGGTGCTCCTGCAGTGTTTTATGAGAAAGGAAAACTTGCGTGCAACAGCCATGTAGATGACTTGCAGCTTTGTGGCGGTGACGCTCGCGCACAGGAGTTACTGGGCAGCCTGAAGAAGGGCGGCTTGAAGGTCAAGGTCGAGGGACCTGTCCGAATTGATGGAGGAGAGTGTCGCTTCTTGAAGCGGTTGTTCGTCGGGGATGGTTCAGGTATTTTGGTTGTTCCTGAAGAGAAGTATGTGACCAAGTTGTGCGAAATATTGAAGCTTGAGAGGGCAGCCCCGAAGCCAACACCTTTGCCATCGTCGTTGAAGCGGCCAGTGAGAGATCCAGAACTTGAAGGTGACGATTATTCTACATATAGGAGTGGCCTAGGGTTGCTGCTTTACACTTGCTCGGACTACCCCGAGATACACTTTGCCGTGCGCATGCTTGGTTCTAGATGCTCGAGTCCCACCGAGTATGACCTTATGCTCATGCGTCACGTCGGGAAGTACTTGAAGGGTCGTGAGAACTATGTGTTGAAACTCTCCAGAACCAGCCCAGGCACCACTTTTGAAGAACGAGTACGCAAGATGGATTCGTTGGAAGATGAGGACTGGAGGGTCAGTAGTGCAGAGCCTAGCTTTAAGCAAGGCCATCTCATCGAGATTGTCACTGATGCCGATTGGGCTTCATCGCATTTCTCGCGGAAGAGTGTGAGCTGTTACTCGATGTACCTGAACGGGAACTGCGTGTATGTGTCCACGAAACTTCAACAGACTTTGGCTTTATCCAGTTGCGAGGCTGAGTACATGGCCTCACTAGCAGGGTGTGCCGATGCATTGTTCGTGAAGGCATTGCTTGAAGAGGTCACGGATTCAGAGGTCACGATCATCCATAGGACGGACAACTCAGGAGCTAGAGCAATTATTTCAAAGCAAGGATGTGGACGTTTGCGCCACATTGACCTTGCTTACTTGTGGCTGCAACGTGAGTACCAGCTTGGACGTGTGATTGAGAAAGTGATTACAACCAAAGCGTGCCCACCGGACATTGGCACCAAGGCTCATCCACGTAGGAGACAACAGTTTCTACTTGGTCTCTTAGGCTTTGTAAACAAGGACACCAAAGAGCTTGCGGGATCAGATGATGTGAATGCGTATCTCATCCAGAGTGGCTTGAAGAGCGGTTTGAAGAGTAGGAGTGGAAAGGCAGCAGTCCGTCTCATCATGGCAATGTTGTTAACGGACCCCGCGGATGCTGCGAACATCAAGGATGACAACGCGGCGGAGTTCAGCGATCACTTCCTCACGAGCTTCGTCATGGTGATGATTGGATTCTTCATTGTCGGCATCCTCACCTACATTGTCTTCTACTTCAACAAGTTGTGCGTGAACAAGGAGAACAAGTGCTTCCGCATCCTCGTGCTCCTGGCCCTTTTCCTCTTCCAGGCGGACGCGGTGAAGTATACCATCACGATTGAGATTGACGGTGAAGGTCGAGTCCAACGTGAAGGTGATGAGCAACTACATGGGTTCACTTTGGTGGAAAGCGCGAGCTCTCAACCTATTGTTGCCCCCGGTGGTGGCGCTACTTCGTCTACGAGTTCTGCGACTGGTGGTGCTACGTCCTCTTCTTCGTCTACGGCAGCTTCTTCGGCAACCACAGGTCCTACGACAACGAGTGGAGCCCCAGCTACGAGAGCAACAACGGAGGATGGACCGCCCGTTGGGTATGCATCTGGCGTCGTCACCGTTTGGCGCATTGGTCATGGAAGCTGCTATCACAGGCAGTTTTGTGGAATGGTGAATCGTGCACGCCGTGTGGAGCCGCACAAGCTTCTTGAGCTTAGTCGACGACAGGCGGAGGCAGCTGGACTGAAACCGTGCAGACAGTGTGGTCCTGAGTCGAACGCGTAGTTTTGTACAGCAGGTGTGTGTAGTGAAGACACATGTTTTCTCCAGAAGTCGCTTTTGGACCTTTGTGTAGATAGGTTCGCGCAGTTGTGTATCGCATGTTGCAATGCAGTTCAGAAGCTGTTAACATGCAGTTTTCTTTTGGTGAACACTGAGCCGTGTAGGGACATGTGCATTCTAGAAGAAGAAAGGCCCCAAGATGCCAATGCACAGTCCGGTAACAAGCACCGTTGGTCAGGCTAGTCGAAAAGCTGTGACCCGCAAGAAGGTCCCTGACCATCAACTTTGCATGTACAGTTGTAAGCCTTAGGTCGTGGAGCGCTCTAAGCTTTGTGTGCAGTGTGCTGAGCTTCTGTTTTGGAGAACCATAGTGGCGTGTAACGTCGGCTACTTAAAAAGTGGCATTGGCTCCGAAAGTTTGCAGCAGATGATTGACTTTGAAGGACTATCATCTGAGGGGGGTTTCAAACTTTTCCAGAACCCAGGAACCTGTTTTCATGTGCTTAAGACAGCACTTACAAAGAACAACTTGTGACCGACTGCAAGGCTCAAAGAAGTGTGAAAATAAGTGACTCGTGCGTTTTCCGCGCACTCTGTTGGACAGGGATCCCAGGAACTCTTCCCGGGCACACGCATCGGCTCTCGCCCGACTGAAGTATGGGATAACGAACAGACTAAGCTCTCGCTGAAACATGTTTGGCAGGCACGTGCGCAACTTCGCCGACATACCCTTGGGCCTCCACTTCGTGTTGCCTTTCATCTATGGCGTGCTCACTGGCGACTTGTCAAAGCCCGCAAGGCGCTACACTCACAGTCCAACAAAGCGCGTCGTGATAAATGGGACCAACAGCTTTCTGAGGCGGAGGAGGCCTATCACAAGCATGATTCTCATTCTTTCTTTGCTGTTGTGCGTAGACTTGCACCACGTCGTCCACGACAGCGCATTATGATGCGCAACAAGGATGGCACACTATGCACACCACAGGAAGAAATTGGGCTGATTCATGACTACTGGCGAGGTGTCTTTGATGTTCCGACACTCCCCAAATGCTCCGGCTATCTGTGGCATGGACTCAACATTGCCACACAGGAGGTGGAAATGGCCATCAGCAAATTATCAATGCGCAAAGCCTCGGCCCCTACCTCGGCTCCGCTCTGCAGCTGGCGTGCTTGTGCTCCTGACATTGCTCCTCTTCTACAGGAATATTTGGCACAGCATTGGGGTGAAGGAGAGCATGCAGGTGATGAGGACATTGCTAGGTCCTGGCTAGTCTTTCTGGGTAAGCCAAATAAACCCAGCAGCAAGCCCGAAAACCTTCGACCTATTGCTCTACAACCGGCTCCTGCCAAAATCATGGCCCTCCTATTACGCTGGCGACTGCAACCGTATGTGGAGCAGCTGCTACACCAGTGTCCACAGTATGCATACACCAGAGGGAGAACCACTACGGATGCAATATCCCGTATTGCCCAACACTGTGATTCTGTTCGAGCCAAAGTCAAACAGCAGACACTCTCACTACATGAACGACGACAGGGCGCTGTACGAACCGTATGTACTGGTGGTGCTCAGCTAACCGTTGACTGCTCCAAAGCTTTTGACAGTTTACCTCGTTGCACTATGATGACCATGTTAACATGGGCTGGTGTACCACCCGATTTGGCCACTGCTATCATACAGGTCCATCAGGCTGGCACTTATCGTCACGGAAACGTGGACGACCCTGACTCCTGGATGGATATTGACAGTGCTCAGGGCGTACGGCAAGGATGTATGCTTGCCCCATGCCTGTGGCTATTGTTCGTCGCATACCTCTTCCATCACCTGGACACGACAATGGGAGGAGCAGATTCATGGACATGCCAGCACTCCACTGCCTTCGCCGATGATCTTCACTTCAAGTGGGATCTTGACGATCCCAAAGCCCTGGATCGGATGAAGATGGAGGTCGCCACGGTACTCTCAGTGCTCAAGTCCTTTGGTCTTCAGATCAGCGCAGAAAAATCCACCATGTTGATCGAGATCCGCGGAACAGCAGCCGATGTTTGGTTGTCCAAGAACGTCTACAAAGATGCTGAGAACAACAAACACTTTCGTTATGACACGTTTGCCAAGCTCTCTATCCCGCTTGGTACCCATTTCAAGTATCTTGGGGTCATATTATCCTATCGCAACTACGAGCTGGCCAGTGTCAAACATCGTGTACAACAGGCTGCCATCCACCATTCCCGTCTTCGTCGCATTCTGCAAGGACGCGGGGGCATCAGCCGGCCTCAACGACTTCGACTATGGCGTATCTGCATTCAGACAAGCCAGCTCTACGGACTAGAGGCCACAGGTGTCACTGAGGCAGGGATCAAATTACTACATGTCCAAATGCTTCGTCACCTAAGGGCTATTACAGGTCGACCCAGGCATCTTGATCGCAGCACTGATCAGGAATTGTTGGACAGTCTCAAAATGGCATCGGTCAGGCAGATGCTATCTCAACGACTTCAGTCGGCAAATACCCGTCTTTGCTCCAACACTGATCTGCCATGCTACGACAAAGACAATATTCTGCGACGTATTCAGGCCTTACAAGCAGGTATTGACCAACCGATCTGCACACAGCGGGTCTCTACCGCCTCGACTGCACCTGTACAGCAGCCTCAGCATGATGTTACGCCGCAGGAGCAGAAGGTGCGACTCCAGGAACTACCCGCTGACACCAAGCAATTTCGATGTCA